GTTCAGTGATGGTTTTTCAGGACATCCCAACTAAAACTAATATATTAAAGTGACTACCTGCTTCTTTCTGATCTCTGTGCAGCACCTGAAATACAGCGAGCGCAGCATCCAGCACAGTGAGGGAACTAAATACACAACTTCCAGAATGCATTGACTTTCACGTTTAACAGATGTGATGCTTCAGCTGATGGAGAACAGCAGCTTTCCAGCAAATCTAATACATCAGCATAGTTCCTCCTTTGGATTTGTACTATCTCTGTGTTTTGTATGGAAGAAGATATGTATGAAAGAAATCAGTTTTTAAATGATTACTTGCTTTCCTTCTGGCATTTTGGAGAACACTCTCATGTTCTTTCAATTCTTTTTTAACTTGCTTGGAGAGATTTTGTTATAGCCAAATAATGCAATTGGCAGAACACACTAGGCACCTTATTGTAAAAGCAAGAGTATAAATTTTTTGAAAGAGAATTTCCATTTTCTTCCTGAATAAGTTTTCAAAAAGACCAGTCTTTAGAGTAGCAGATGAAGAGTTCCTCTCTAGTCTGCCATGGTAGCAGCTACATTTTATTTTATTTCAGTTCTGACACATTGATGTTTGGCATTTGTAGGATTAGAGGGTTAATCATATTTAAGGAATTACGCCCTTAAAAAAATACACTTTTTTTTTCATTGCTACTGGCAAAGAATGCGTTAGTGATATTCATTGCTACTATTCCAGTATTTCAGGCTAAAAGTCTTTAGTGTTTTTTTGTTTGCTTTTAAGGCAGAAAACATTGCGGAATGGATTTGCCCACTTATATTCATATCGCATCTTATTTCAGTAGGAATACAGAATTCTTGATGGATGATATTTTTGATCGTTTTTACATTTCTGTACTTCCTGAACTGTTTTGAGGTGTGTTGGAAGGACACTGTGGTAATATGGGAGTTGCAAAGAAATTCTTATTCCTTTCATGACTATTGTTTTTAGAGGTGAAAATATATCCTATTTTAACATTCTTTTAAAATATCCTAAAGGATGTGATAAAACACAGCAAGAAATGAAGGTTCAGGGACAGGGTGACCATTTGTAACTTGGTCTGTCTCAGAACCGCAATGTAATGGCACTGTGCATTGACATGCTAGACTTATGACTTGAATAAAGGTCTCATAAACTCCTTAAGGTGTGAAAAAGGGGGAGAAATAACCCCTCGTTTTTCCTGTGTGTCTGTTTTTCTTCAGCGAGGGAAGGGTATAGTGCTTGAAGAGCATCCAATTGGACATGAATTATTAATTACTAGGCTTTTTTTATTGCATAAACAGGTTGAAATGTTTAAAGTAACTTTTCTCTTAGACCCGGCTTATTTCAAGCACTTATCTGTCTTTGAAGCTGGGGTGTTGGTTTCTTCAACTGCCTTGCGTTCCTTATTATCTTCTGTTATTCGTTAGTATTGCAATAGGATCTATAATTCTGTTGCTGGTAGAGACTCTGTGGTAGAGGTAATCTGAACCTGATCTGTGAATACTTCTCTAAAATATCCCTTTGTTATGGTTTCTCTCCCCAAAATGCTGTATTGTTATCTACCTTTTCTTGTTCCTTTACTTCTCCAAAGTAAGCATATGTTTATTTTACTTCCTTCCCCAATGTACTTCATCTAATTCTGTTGACCAACATACATTACATCTTAAAGCAGAAGTGCAGTGTTGTCTGGCTCCCATGGCCTCTGGCTGTATGAAGAACTCTTCTACACATCTTTTTATTTTCAGGAAGAATCAAAAATTTTGTTTAAGACTCTCCACTGACTCTAGCTTGATGCACAGACCTTGGGTGGGATCCAGGCTGCACTAGGAGCTTACATTGAATGAGTGATGTATGCACATGATTCCACTTACGTATGTAGCCTGTTAAGTAATATTAGAAGTGAAGGTATTACTTAATCTTTTCCACTGTTTCCCTTCACTTTGAGGACTTCTAATTTTAAATTATGAAATACTACTGTTGGATTTCCAGGAAGCACTAGGAGAACACTCTGGTGCAACTGAGGAATCTTTCTCACCATTCTTTTTTGGGTGAGTCCAACTTTTGCCAATGTCTGGTTGGTTGGTTTGGTTTTTTGCTTTTCCTTTTTTTGTTGCATTTGTAGCTTGTTTTTCTAAGTCTCCTGAATAGTGCTTGTTTACATTGACTCCACTCAAGGTCATGTATTGGACTATATACTGCTTCAGACCTAGTCTTAGGTTTCAGTCATTGAATTTTGAATAGTTTTTCATATTGCGTTGAACATGATGTAGAAAAGTGCAGTTCCTGAAGAACAGGGACATAATTTATTTTTGGTCTTACTGAATTACCATTTGAAATGTAGTGATCTTCTGTTGGTCATGACTGTACCAGGAGAAACCAAATCTGGTCTTTAGGCAGCACTTTTTTAAAGTTTACTGCTTTTTAGGTGAGCATTCTCTTTTGGGTTCCAGGTGTCTTACTGTATATAGCACTTTACCCACTGTTGAAGAAGGGCATCATTAATAAGATGGATATTTATTTCATCACTAGACAGAATTCTTGACTTGTGTTCCTGTGACATGGACTTGCGCAAGAGGATCTGTAGAGTATTTTTAAGGTGTTTTGAAAAGTACTACTATTTAAGAGAGGTCATGCATAGCAAACCAGGAATTTCCATGACTACTAAGTGCAAGCAAAGCAAAATAGTAATGGTATTCTATGCTGCATGTGATACTCGTGATATCCAAGGTGTTTTGATTTCTATTCTTCCTTTTCTTTGTAGTCTGCCAGCTGCCTTCTTTCATCTGTATTTGCATTCTCATGGCAGATTTTTTTTAATTAAAAAAAAAAGTAAACCTTTACTTTTGGTAATAACAAAATGGTGCATTCTGTAGGTAGTGCTTATTGGTGTTTTTTCTACTGACGCTCCAGTTTTACCTTTCTTATGCTTCTACGACAGAAGAACTGAGACTTGCTTTTTGACACCCAAACCACTAAATATTTTTTTCTACAGCTCAGGAATCTCCTGTTTACTTTTACTACAATGCTGTAGTCAATATTTAAACAGAACAAGAACAGAGTTGAAGTATGGACCTGTTCATTTTAGTCTGCAGTGCCTTCCAGTAGGAAATGCACATAAGCAATTAAATATATTATAGCTAAATAAAGTAATAGTAAGGAGGCTGCTCCTCTGTTGTTTGGTAATGAAAGTACTGAGCATGTACAAAATAAGCTATTGGTCTGTGTTAGAGAATTGCAGTGTTCACGAAAAGCAAGAGCTGTTGTCTCAGTTTTGGGGGGGAAAGTTACTTATCTACACTACAAAATAAAGTATTAATTTATTTTCGTATCAGATTATCTACACAAAATACGCCTGAGATATTTAGAAGATTTTCTTTTATTTGGAGACTGTGTTTCAATTATGACAGTATGCCTTCAAAATGCCTTCAGCTGATATTAGTCCTTTGCTAGGGCTATCCCAGTCAGTATTCTAAAGTGTATTAGGACTTCTTGTGAAGATAATTCTACCACTTCCTTAGCAATTCTTGGAGTAAAACTACTCATAAATAAATCTGCCAAGACTCTGAAGGACCAGCACCTCCAATATCAAGAAATCTGCATAGTGTACTGTGTTCTTTTTTCTCCCTGTCATTTTGATAAGGAGATTACAGAAGCTATTAAAGGTAAAATTACAGTCAAGTATAGCATTAAAAAAAAAAGTAGCGCAGCACTGAGATTTCATTTAAAGAGACGAACTTGAAAAAATTATTTTAAATGCTTTTTACATTTGCTTTAGCTGCATGTGTTTAATGTTTAGGGTATTAATGGCACGTAATTTTAAAGTTGTGTAGAGCAGCCAAAGCAGAAAATGGAGAAATACTTTCCTAAGTCCTTTAAAAAGTTAATCTTTACAATCAAGACTTGTTAAGTCTTGATTTAGGCAAGATGTCATGGGATTCGTTTGTCATCAAAATAAAAAAAGATTGATAAAGCCTGTTGAGAGACATATGTGTGTGTGTGTGTGTGTGTTCTGTGAGTTATGAAGCTTAGTGAAATCTACTGTCATTTGGGTTTGAGTCCCATGACCCCTGTACTTTTCCTGCTTTCCTTTCCATTCATTGTCTCCTTGCACTATTGCCATGAGCCCACCTTCTTACCAAGTCCTTTGTCACCTTGTGTCACCTTCAGTTCCTCCAGTTCCTATTTACAGACTACATCCCTCCCAAATATTGTCTAGGTGAGATGTATCCAGTTTGTGTGGGTTTCCACTATTAAGAATCCTGTAAGATGCCACTGACCCTCAAGCATGTCTTCCTAACAAATTTAGGATTTTCAGAGTTTCCTTTTAAATATGGCACATTTAACTAAAATGTAGCAATTAATGAGCAAACAAAAAACCTGTGGATCATTTAGCATTGTCTCTGGTAATGTGCCAGTTGTGTTCATTATCCATATCTAGCAACAGGTGTGCTCCAGAAAGACTAAATATTCAAGACAAAGACTGTTCACAAAATGGCTTAGTACTGTTCACTTGTTGGCACAACTGTTGGCATGTTTTCACAGAATATGAATATGAGGTGCAGAGTCATGGTGTAGTTATTTCACAAGAGATGATTTAATGGATAGTGATAGTTGTAGTAGGAGAGGAGGAGGAGGGGGAAGACCAAAATAAAATATATGATAAAATATGATTTAAAAAATTGTGCATCTGTTTAAAGCTGAAGTTATGTCAAGATAATGTTGAAATACCTAGCCCTGAACTTGAGATGGAATATAGTAATATACTCTTCTCACTGCTCTCACACATCTATATTTTAATACCTATGCTGTCTCAGATTGTGTATGACTTCTCTCAGGAGATGTACCTGATGATTGCATGTGCTGCAGATGCCATATGGAAGGAAGCAATGCTACTGCTTATGTACTTTATGCTTTTTTGAGTAAAGGATACTACAAAGAGCTAAGTATTTTTTCTTGCTTATTTATATATACACACAATTTTTCCTGTGTATCTTTTCAGCTCATGGAAAAAACTGACAGAGAGTACTACACTCTGGATGACATGTTTGTTTCCAAAGCAGCCAAAAGAGTGCGCAGTGGGGAAGAGGAGGAAATACAAAGAAGAAAAGCAATACGTGAGCACCAGCAGCTTGCTGCACGCATGGAAAAGTGCCCATACTGCTTTGATAGCAGTGAACTTTCTAAACATCTTATTATTGCAATTGGCACCAAGGTAAGAAAATAGCAATTTAACACAAATGTAAAAATAAAAAAGAAATAAAGGAAGGCAATGTTAATGTTAAAGTGTATAAGATTAAGAATGAAATCACTTCTATGAAATGATTTAGTGTTCTGCATCTTATTTTCCTTGCCCTTCCAATTGATTTCACAAATTCCTCAAGGGTGAGGGAGAAAAAGATATAAATCTGTTGTGAATTATAAAGCTAATCTTTGATATCGGAACTTCAGATTTGTGAATTCATGGAAGACAGGAGCAATAATGAAAGATCTGAGTGCAGAGATTAGGCTTTAGGTGGATTTGTGGAAGACTAAATCATACTGCACTGGAGGAAATTTGAACAGGTGAAGAATTGTATCTCAATGATATAAAAGAAAATTAAATGGAGAATTCCAGTTTTAAGCCTGAAATCCTTTGAAATAGACAGAAGTTTGATATGGGGAACCTTCTTGTTTCCATTAATGCTTTTAAAAGTTGCATAAATATTTGGATTTATAACATATGAAATGCTCCAGTATAGGCTTTTTTGCCATTCTTTCTCCAAAGTTTTAATTTATTATTGATGTTTTTTGTTTGATTTGAAACTTTTTGTAGGCCAAGGAATTAAATGCATAGCTATGTATTATGGTACATTGCACGCATTTTTTTATATAGATAGACAATATATATAAAATGCATACAGATACGTATCTGTGTGTACATATATCTGTGTATATATATGTGTTTATATATCTAATATATATACAGAGATATATCTATAGCTATGTATTTTTATAGATTATATTTTATTAAAAATGCATACAGAGATATATATATAAAAAAAAAGAAAGTCTTGTAATGGACTAAACAGTGTGATTTCATAATAGTTAGGGTACTGGTTGGTCTGTAAGGCTGATATTACTGCTGTGTTGGTGGAGCTTCTGTCTGGATACTACTAGTTCATTTGAGCTACTGATGGATAATGGGACCTTTTTAAAAACACTAAAATTACTAATACCGTGCTGTAATTAGAAGATAATGGCTTCTATTGGTTTGAATTTTAGCAAATAATGTATTTCTTGGACTTAGCAATGGGAAGGTTTTTAACACTGGAAAAATGGGCACTTCAGTTTTTGTTCGCTTTTTATAGGTATACTTGTCTTTACCAAGCAACCAGTCCCTTACTGAAGGTCACTGCCTGATAGCCCCCCTGCAGCACCATACTGCAGCCACTCTTTTGGATGAAGACATCTGGGAAGAAATCCAGGTCAGCTGAGAAACTGTCTCATGTTCTAACATTTTTGTGAAATAATGTTGTTTTGAATAATAATATAGTTGTCATAAGTACCTATTTTCATAATTTCCAGCCTGGTAGCTCTTTTCTGATTCCACTAAGGGGCAGAACATTCTCGCGTTATGGATGAAAATTAGTGGTCAAAAATTGAAAAGGGAGATGCAGGGTAAACACTGAAGAAAAGTTTTCATTTACAAGCACCAGAAAAAGTTGCCTGGAATGCTGCAGAACCTCTATTGTTGGAGGTTCCTCAAGCAGGTTAGAGGAACATCTCTTGGGGGTGACGTAGGTGCAGCTGATCCCTTATAGAAAGTGGAATAACTGGCTTGGCAGTTAAGAATTCCTTGGGAGTACCAAGGAAAAGAAAAGGATTGTCAGGGCAGAAAGATCACTTATAATGAAACACAAGCTGAAGATATGTTGTTTACATATCTTCAGGTTTTTTAACCTCATCTGGGTTTTGGGTGGATGTCGGCTGGGAGGGAACTATCTCATTCTTCTTCAAATCGGTGAGGTCCCCATTAGAATCCAATTTCCTACTTTTTTGAAAAGAATTATTAGAATAAAGTGCCAAGCACGATGGGTCATGCTTTCCAACTCTCTTATGAAGACATTTTGAAGGTTTTGAGTTCTGTTTTCTTTGGAAAAGGAAAATCAAGGGAGGAATGTAACCAGGTTCTGCCTAAGAAATTGACAGTGTTCCTCCCCCCTGCCATCAGGATTATTACAAGGGGAAAACAATTTGCAACCTCTTATATCAACATATGGGATACTATTTCAGACTAGAGAAAGGCTTTGTTCCTTGCAGTTGCTTAGATTTAAAAGCAGGTTAATTCATGAGTTTGAAATGGTTTAAGTAACATTGATCTTGCCTCAAGCCTGGCAGATGGATTCTCTGACTTTCCAAATTTGCTCCCCACATTGATTCTCATGGCTGATGTAGTTTTTATATAGTGTTTCTTAGTAAATTATGCTCCTCCCAAGCAGGAAGGGAAAGGTGTTCTTTTGTATGTGACAGAAATGCCTAAGAAAGTTGGAAGTTGGATATGAAGCAAGTAAGTGCAACATGTAGGGATCAGGAGAACAACAGAGCATGGGAAAAAGTGATAAATACATTTATTCTATATCTTCTATTTATCCTAACCTCTTTTAACTAAATAGATGGTATTTTTTTCTGAATTTGTATGAGAAGGAAAATAGGATAAAGGAAAGATAAGCAAATGCAATTCCTGTGTTCAATGCTAGTCTCTTCCTTGCTAGAAAATGCAACTAGTTGGTAAAACTGTTATCCATTGACCCTGTGAATATATTCATAGCCAGTTTAAACGTTTCTTTGCAACAAAGTACTTCGGGAGGTGATAGACACAGATTACCCCCCCCTCCCCCACCCCCCCGGCTTCTATGAAATTCAGTAGGAACAGTCTGGAAGGCTTTAGCAGGAGTATAAGCATACATTTACTTAGTGACTAAACTAACTTTCTGATGCCAAAGCCATATTTTATATTGCTGTTGAGGGAAAAAAAAAATTATCACACTATAAATATTCATATAATATTGTATTGAGTACATGTTTTAGCTAACTATTTTTGCTGGGATTTTTTTTTTTAAGATATGTTGGAATAAAGCAAGATGGGTTCTTTTATACTGTATGCCTTCAGGCACTGGAATTTAACATACTGTGTGTTTTAGACTGGTGTGCTCACTTGCCAAAGTAAATATGCATGTAACTTTTTTAATATGAAAAGATATAAATCTTTACATGTTCTGTATTGCCTGAACATGTAGCAATTGGTACCTGTGTCATGTGCATCCGAGCATAGGCCAAGCCCTCTTATTTGCTCTTATGAATGGTTTTGTCCTTTCTAGTGCTAATTATCCTTGATGTTTTGGCCCACCCAGAATTTGGAGGAAGAGTGCAATGTATTTAAAACTAAGAAATTGCAGTCTGGGAAACATTAGCTAACATCTGCAGATATTCTAGGTTTTTCAGTGGATTTGTATTTCTGTCGATATTGCAGGGTAGCAACTCTAATAGTCCTTCCCAGCCTTTGGTTTAATGTTTCTCTTATCTCACCATAGTTGCTTGCTTTGGTGTATTTCAGAAGTAGATGTCTGGGGGCCAGGGTGAGGCAGAGAAGACAACAAACTATTAATTCAGAGTTGTCTTTTGCTCTGCACAGTAAAGTCCTGTATCAGCCATGGTACAGTGATCTATTCACTGGGCAACATCTTCTAGCTGTATTTCATCATTTGTGTTGGGAGGGTGGTGGCAGCATTTTCTTGTGAGAGCATGGAGCAGCTTTTTTGTGAGGAAAAATTGGGGGCACAAGAGCCTGCTTTGGAGAGCTTGAATACCTGGTTAAGAGATATATTTGGCCAAGTTTCTTAGACTTTTAGTTTGATTCATACTGTGCAAGATGGCAAAGGGATGGGGAGAAGAGAGCTCAATTTCTAGTCCTGTTGCACTGAAAACCTGGTAGTGATTTGGTTTCCATCTGTTTTACTTCAGTACTTGCTGATGTTTATGAATATGTGTATTTGCTTATGCTTATTCGATTCATCAACTCTCCATTTAAATTAAGATAGGAAATCTTAAACCTTTAGATAGGATTAGCCTTTTAATTGTGGTGTTTGTACTTCTAAGCATTGTTAATTGGAAAAAAAAAATCAATGCAAAAAGGACAACCTGTGAGTTATGTGAGTTGTAGAGCTGTGGTACCTGTGGTCTGTGAGGCTTATACAGTTTCAGTGATTTCTTGGTTTACACTGTGGAAATGGTATAGGAAGCATGTATAATACAAAGATCTTCATTTTTAAAAAAGCAATTTTCAAGATCTTGAGACACTTTCAGAAACATTTGTTCTGTCACAAAGGCAGATCTTTTGTGCATTTGAAAATGAGTCTGAATGAGTCTCTGAAATCATCCCTTGTGCTTGGTAATTTAGTTCAGCATCTACATTGTAAGCTGTAGAATGATGCTCTTGCATATCTGGGATACAAATACCAACTGCCAAGAGTCAGGGAGCAGCAAGAGCGGGCTCTCCACAGGGGAGGCAAGGCAGGGGTGGGCGGAAGGTGACGGGCAAGGCAGTTGGGGGAAGCCACCTCGCTGACAAGGCACAATCCCATGGTACCCAAGCCAGGAGAAGAGAGCAGGTCCCATGACGGTAGACAGGGCGAGCCACAGCCCAGTGATGGCCAGACAAGTTTGCAGTGATGAGTTAGGTTCAAGGTCAAGTCAGCAAGTCAGGGTCAAGATCAGCCAGGCACATGGCTGGGCACAGGCATCCCTGAAACTTAGTTCAGGCGAGGATCAAAAGTGAGCGCCTGAGCTTAATTCCCCAGCTCTTTCTGCTGTGTCTGATCCCAGCTTATAGCTACACCATGTCAGAGCTACCCATCTGCATGGGCAGCCAGAGCCCCAGCAGGTACGAGAGGCTGCACAGCGTGTTGAGTGTGTGCAGGGCCTTGACACTGGAGCTAGCAGAATTATAAATTGAAATACACTTTGAACAGGTGCAGCACCTAATCTCTAAGGGGAACTGGTAACATTGAGGCCAGGTGTATTACAGTATTGCATTTGGTTAGCTTCCATACAGTGAAGATGGTGGTTATAGCCATGGCTGTCTTTGGAGGCAATGTTAATATTTTCCTTAAAGGACAAGCATGTCGTTTGTTTAAAATCTGTGTAATTGGAATGAATGGTGGAAGGATAATAGTATCTAGAGGCAATACAAGCCCAAGACATTAATTAGCAAACTGTGAGCTTGGGACCTCCTGTTAAAGCCATATTGTTTTATGGAGCATCACAGTTATGGAGTTCAACATAGTTTTAATTTCAACTGTAAAATTATGTGGTATTTATTAAAACTGAGTTTGTAGTGTTAATTATAATGCGTATTTCACAATAGTTTTCTAGACTTCATATCTTTGTATCTTTGGAAATACAGTTCATGTTAAATTGTTGAATAAGATGGAATTTTTCTAGTATGATTGCTGTTGTTACTTTATGATGAGTTTATTATGAATATAGTATATGTTAGTGAAATAATGTAAAATATTATATCTGAAAGCTTTGAAAAGCTAATTCAAATTACGCTTTTTTTTTTTTTCTTTAAACAGATGTTCAGAAATGCATTGGTGAAAATGTTTGAAGCTAAAGACTTGGACTGTGTGTTCCTAGAAACAAACATGAGTATGAAGAAACGGTATCACATGGTATACGAATGCATTCCTCTTCCAAAAGAAGTAGGAGATGTGGCTCCAATCTACTTTAAGGTACATGAAAATGTTTTTTCTTAGGTAATTTGAATGTATTTATCATAATTCATCTATTTCTGGAAAACTTTTTTTGATATTCAAGTACTATTTTTGAAAAGATGGATTCTTTGATCCTACTTCTTGATCCATTCTTTGATCCTTTTCCTTGATCTTAAAACAAGCCCTGTGAGGTAATTCTGGTTTTCACGTAGTCAGTGGAAGAGCTGTATGTCACTGTGCAGTTGCCTCAAGTCTGACTGCACTGGCAAATACTGGAAAAAGATGAGAGAACTGTAGTTTCTTGAAGTGCTGTAAGGATTGCAATACTTTTCACTTAAGTCCTCTAGTATAAAGTTAAAACCCCATACATGTGCCTTGGCAAGCATAAGATGAGAAAATATGTCAACTGTTTTAAGAAATACCAATATATAATGTTTCATCCCCATTTTATTTCAGTAGGTCCAAATTTTACACGTGTCTTAGCTCTCTGATGAACATTAAACAGCATGATAGATATTTCTTCTATAGCTTTTCTGGTCTTTTTCCACTGACCTTGTGAGGAAAGGCTCATTGAACCTTCTGCCTGGAACTGAGGCCTTTTGGCTTTCAGCAGCTGGATCATGATTTGCCTTTTATAAGTAAATTATTTTATTTGTTCTTTGAAATATTATTTTTGTTTTCTGGAAGCAAATAATGTGATTGGTCTTTGATGAAGTGGAGCAGCCAGTATGATGAATAGCAGTGCTGTAACTTCTATCCCATTTGAAACTCTCCACCTGGTTTTCATTGCTGTTTCAAGTACTGATAAAACTTTTGTCTGAATGCTGAAGGAAAGATGAAGTACAAGATTTAATGCAATGTCATGTGCATAAAACTTCCTTTCAGAAGTCTCCACCATTAAAATACACAGCAAATGAAATTTAAAAGGTACCTATGCTATAATACAGTATACCCACTTCCATACTATAGCGGATACAGAGGCAGCCTTAAAGGTTTTTAAACACAATCAGCCTTCTAAGCTAGATTCTCCTCTTAAAGTTTAAAAAAGAAAAAAAGAAAAAAGGCTAATATACTGTAATGAATTCATAAGAGGTTTTGTATGAGCTTAGTAAAAAGAGAATGTGACCTTTTAGTTGAGACTTGTTAGAGATAATTTGTGTAAAGCAAAAGTTAAACTGTAAAAAAAAAAAAAAAAAAAAAAAAAAAAAAAAAAAATAAGGTGTGTTGAAAAAAAAAAAAAAAAAAAAAAAAAGAATAGAATTAAGTGAGTTTGAGGATATTATATGATGCCTTTATAAAGTATGTAAGTTCTGGAAATCAGAAAGGTGGCCAAAAATAAAGTTACTTTGTTAAGAAATAATTGGTACTTGCAGCACAATGTACTTCATTACATTGAAAAGTTAGTTCTTTCCTTGCTGTATGGAGGACTATTTTCACATTTAGATAAAATGATTTTACAGAAAGCTATAATGGAGTCTGATGAAGAATGGTCCGTGAACAAGAAGTTAATTGATCTTTCTTCAAAAGATGTTCGGAAATCTGTAAGTAATAAAATGTATTGAACATTGAATTTCTCGTCAAATTCTTCTCATCTTTTTTCGTTATTAACTGTTTCAAAGAGAGAAGAAAGTGAACACAATTAGATTAGTGGATCAGGGGATGGCATAAGCATGATGAGAATTAAAGAGTCTGACTGAACTCCTAACTAGCATTAGGGAAAAGATTTCCATTTATTTCAACGATAGGTGGACTGAGCTGCAAGCATTGGTTGAGAACAAAGCTGGCACTTTGAGAACATGTACCAGCATAATTTTCTTGATTAACTTTAAGAATTAAGGTAGATCAAAGACTTGCAAATTACTTTCCTGGAAAAAAATATGATGTGTCTTTTTCATTGACCTGGAACAGCCTTTTGTGTTGCTAAGTTTATGAAGCAAAAATATAAATAGCCTTGTAAGTCTTTTTTTTTTTTTTTCCTAAAACAAGGGAATAGCGCACTGTCTGTCTTCTGGATACTAAACTGAAACATCTTTGTATATACAAATTTTAAAGGAATGATGCTGAAACTGTTAGGTTAAAAGGTTGTTCCATCTTTTTAATGTTAAAGTGAAAAATGTGTGGCATATAGACTTTACCACAAGTAGTTTACTACTATGTAGTAATAATACTTAATTTCTGAAAGTGTATTTTAGTAAGTATAGCACCTTTGCACTAAAAAAATCCTAGTTTAGGTGAAGGGGGAGATGGGTTTAGACATGAAGACTGATATGACAAAGAGAGAGAAATTAAATGCAGAAGAGTAAGGCATTGAGTGGCTGTATAACAGGAGAGGTTTTGTATATTGTGATGACTCTTGAACTAAACCAACAGTGGTAGCAAATGTAGCAAGAGAAAATTTATTCTGCCACGTGAGCTGAAATGTCATATAAATGATTACATTTAGTCAGTTATTCAAAGTGGTGAGGCTTCAAATGGAAAATTTGGGTCTGGTTTTGGGCACAGTGTTCTAAGACAGTTACAGATGAGGAGAACATAGGTTAGAAAACTTAACCTGGTTTAGGGGTTGTGCAGTCTAGGAAAGAAAAGACTGAAATGGGATTTGATGCTAGTTTCCTTTATATAGGAGATTGTTTTAAAGAAGATAGTTGTTTGCTAGCACTACTGGGTGCAGACAAGAAGGAATTCAATTGATTTGTAGCAAGGACTTAGGAAAGACTTCAAACTTCAGGTGTAAGATGTAAACAGACAACAGAATAGTTACGTTTTGGATATCTTCTGCTCATTGTTTTAGAACAGGGTATAGGGAACAGGTGTTTTAGAACAGGGAAAACCAATATCTGTCACAAATAAATGAAGTATAATTTTCTTGACACATGGTAGGGCATCAGGATATTTGATTTCTTTAAGAATCTTGTTAGCCATATGTTTTTGAGACTGTATTATGTTTCTTGCTATGATACATTGCACCTCTGTATTAAATCTTAATTATTTTTAGACGGAATTTTCAGGCAATATATGGAACATGCCTTGTGAAAATTGTGCAGTTATTTGGACTGTAGCAGAGGAAATGCTTATGAATTTGAGGCTTTGTAAATCTTATCTGTACAGAACATCCTCAACAATTAAGGGTGGAAAATAACTTGTTGCAGTGAAACAGCAGAAATTACTTGCAATGCTGTAGCAATAAATGAATCCACCTCTCACTCTGTCAGACTGAAGGGTCTTTCCTTGTGGCAGGATAACCAGTGTCTCCTCTGTAGGCTGACTGAATTATTAAATTATCCAATTTGGCAAGTTAATGATAACTTCCAGTCATGTAGTGGGTTTTTCTGGTAGTGTATTTTCCATAGAGGTGTTTCCCCCCCCCCCCCGAGTGTCAATGTTTCCTCTGGGTAAATATTTCATGTTATCACACATCACCTTATCTTTAATAAATGCAACTTGCTGGTGGTTGTCTTAAAATTTCTATTCAGCCCATGTAATTCAGAGGCGTGGAATCAGGAAGGCATTTGTGCAGTGTGCATGCTGCTGCCTGTTCCTTCCCCGTCTCTTACCTGGTGCTGCAGCAGTGTCCTCTGGAGGTTCTGCCACCCAGCAATCATCTTCTCAGTTTTCAGTGTCTTTTTATTTAGTTGTTGTGTGTTGGTTTTTCCTCATGCCTGTTAGTTTTACTGTTTCTCTGTTGCAATTTTATGCTACACATACTTGGTTTGATGGGTGGTTTAAAATAAAATGTGGTACTATCAACTGTAAAACCACTTTCAAAATCATTAAGTTGGGGCAGGGGGGTTAACTAAATGCCTACAGTCTGTTAAACATCTAAGAATGTGGTTTTGTGTATAGGTTCCTAAAGGTTTACCATACTTTTCTGTGGACTTTGGCCTTCAAGGAGGATTTGCTCATGTCATTGAAGATCAAGACAAGTTCCCTCATTACTTTGGAAAGGTATTGTTGTGTAGAAGATAAATTTTACAAAATAAAGTATAATCGGTAAATTGAAGTAGTTAAAACAGATGCTGCCAGAGCAGTCACTTTGATGTACCTTATCCCAATTTATTAGCTGGCTTTTCTTGGCAAGTCATTATATCTTAGCTTGTTGAATAAAGGAATAATTGATTTCTTTGCTGGCTGATACTCAGAATGTGATTCTAGATCCATGTTTCTTTGGATTAATAGGAACTCTAGATATTTGACATGTAGTCTAATAGATGGAAAATACTTGCATCTACTTAAGAAGAAGGAAAAAAAAAAAGCTTTTTCATAGCCATAGTATTCTCATATAGGCGCACTGGCTTCTGCTTGTGTAAATTAGGGTGCACAGACATACAAACTCACAGACAGCTCCTAGTGTAATAAATGTGTGGTTAAATTACTCCATGTAGTATAAGTATAGAGAGTATAATATATACAGGAAGAGCTGCAATAAAATCTTCCATTCTTTATTATGTCACAGCAATCATTTATTGAAAAGTCAATATTGCAAAAACATTAAGAGTGATTGGGGAGAAATATAACTTATTTCAAGAAGAGTTAAGAGCAAAGTGGGCAGTTTTCTTTTTTCTGAACTTTTCTCTTTTTAGTCACAAATGTACTAATATATTAACAGTCTTGCAATGTTAGGATATTTATGCAGTTCATTGCTATGCTGTACTTAAAAGAATTTTGCTGAGGCAACCATCTAACAACTAGAGTTCTAACTTTTGAATTGGTATATATTGTTACAAATTTCTGGTTTTAATAACTAGCACATGAAGAAAACAGTGACAGTCTCATCATTTGAATATATATATTTCTATATTCTATGGTAAAATAGCATTAAGTAATATGGTAATTTTGCATTTATCTTTATCTATCTTTGTTCTGCTTGCAAAGGAAATCATTGGTGGCATGCTGGACTTGGAACCGCGGCTCTGGAGGAAAGGAGTCAGACAGAATTTTGAGGATCAGAGGAAGAAGGTGTTGCAGTTTGCACAGTGGTGGAAACCATACGACTTTACCAAAAAGAAAGAATGAGTACATGCCTGCAGTCAAGGACTATATAAGCCATAAACTCTATAAAAGGATATTTCATATGTTAAGAATAACACCAGTGTGTTATGTATTGCTAATATATTTTAAAACCAAGGATATTGTTTAATTGCTGATTACCTATTTCTGGTTTAGACACTTTGTGGATCACATGAACCTGCAAGCCTGACAAACCACAAGTGTATAGTGTTTTTAGTTTTTCAGTTTTTAGCTCAGCCAAAAGAATAATATCCATGTGACTACTGGAATTCTTCAAAATGTAGCTTCTGCTTTTGGAGGTTTTATAATCTTTGTGGCAACTGATGTTTTTTCTACATTGGATTTAGCATAGAGCCAGTGCTTAATTATAATGCTGACTTTTTGTAGAAAATGGTGTAAATTTTAAGAACATTTTGAATAATACAAATACATTGCTGCAGAAGGAAGCTGTACAGAAAATTATTTTCTGCTTTTGAGTTCTTTAAGTTGAAGTCATTGCAGGAATACAAATGTTCAAGTATGATGTGATTGATAAACCTGCTGCTGCCCCCTGCACAAGAATTAATGCCATTTTCTGTACTTTCTTTCAATATGGAGTAGTATTTTCAAGCTGACCTGTTGCGCAAAGGATGATGATACAATCCATAGTGGATGGCAAATGACAGCTTTAATCATAGAATCATAGAATTGTTTAGGTTGGAAAA